CTAGAGAAGTCAGCAACAAAGGACGGTTCACAAACACACCTGCTAAGTTTGGTGATTCCTGTACACGTTAAAATTTAAATAGATCCTGAAAGCTGAAGTTGAAGCACTGAGGTTGACACTCTGGGCTATACAGAGAAAGCAGTGTCAGATGGTGGTTAAGAACACCTTGTAGGCAGACTGCCAAGGTGTAAGTCCTAACCTGGCCCTTACTCCAGCCAAAGTGCCTTACTTCTCTATGCCTCAGTCTCCTCAATTGTAAAATGAGTGAAATCAGAGTGGCTGGGAGAATTACATTAAATAGTGCAGGTAAAATAATTCAAAGAACAATGCACGCAGTCACGGACTCAAAAGGTTAACTCTAAAAAAAAAAAAAAAAAAAAAAAATCTAAGAAGCACGGCATTGAAGTATTCTGAGTGTTATTGAAGCTCTTTAGGTACAAAAAACCCAAAGACTCACTAAGCCTAGCTCAGGCAGGACAACGGGGTCTTACGCCTCAGGCAGAGGAGACAGACTTACACAGCAATCCAAGAAGACCCATGAAAAGGTGAAGCCTCATGGAGACAAGAACCAGGGGGTCAGCTTGGATCTGGGAGTCTTCCCCAGACGGCCCTGACCAGGACTCACGACTCTGTGCATTGCTTCCGCTCCTATGACCAGTTGGGTCCCTCACCACTTGCTCTTGTCTTTTTGCCAGCTCTTTTTCACCTGTAGTTTTGTTGGTTTTTTTTTTTTGTCTTTTTTTTTTTTCCCTTTTTGTGGAGAACGGCGTCTCGCTATATTACCCAGGCAGGTCTCAAACTCCTGGGCTCAAGCTATGCTCCCACCTCTGCCTCCCTGAGAGCTGGGATTACAGGCGTGAGCCACCACGCCTGGCCTCACCTGTAGTTTTAACTAACTTCTAATTTGAGTTCTTTTTGCCTATCACATGCTCCCTGGTCTGTCTCATAACCTTCCAATTTTGCTCACTACCTAAATTTCAGTTTCTGAGAGTAAAAAAGTCATTCACTCAATTCATCCCTGTTTGGGCAGAGCTTTTGGCACCAGCCTCCCTCACAGGCTAATGGGTTAGAATTTCTGAGTCAGCAGGCACTAGGTAATATAGTATAAAACATTTCTGCCCTGGGCTGTCGGCTCAGCAGGGGCTGTGGAAGAAAATCACACTGTGATTACATGTCTAGTTAAAATGGTCTTAAAAGACATGAAACAGGGTTTGAAATCTGGGTTGCAGGCTCTTTCCCCTTCACCTATACCACCATCTCCCATCCTCCCTCCTTCCCCCCACTTCCTACGAACACCTGCACCCTCTGGCAGTTGAGGTGACTTTTCATGTTCAGCATATTTCAAATGTTGTGTAACAAAATTAATTACATTTAATTAAACTTAACAATTTTGTACAGCCCCAAACAAATCTAAAATGCCATGTTAAGCTTATGAGATGGCAGCCCTCCAAAGGGTTCTGCTGCTGGGAGAATCCATCAGAGGCTTATGTAATTTTAGGGATCATTTTACATGAGTCTGATGAAAGGCCCCTTAGCCTTCATTAAGCATCAAACAAGAATTATTGTCTGGGTCCTAGACCAAGCAACTACCTATGTCCTCCCTCCTTCCTGCATTCCAGCAAGAATTCCCTCACTCAAACCACAATCTTCCTCTTTCCGTCTGCTTTTTTCAAGGTGCACTCAAATCATGAGATTGCTTCTCTCTTTCCCCCCACTACACAGCAGCAAGGGAGGGAACTGTATCTCTTACGAGCACAGGGCCTGGTATATGGGAGTTGCTGAATTTATTAACATTTGTCGAATGAATGACTGCTCTTGCTCATTGGTTACGTGTTTCTCCCACCTCGTGTATGAGTCAGGCTTTACTGTAATAAACCCCCAGGTCTCAGCGGATTTCTTGTTCTGCAGGATTGAGAGGTGGCTGTAGGTCTGCTTCACCTGCCTTCTCACCTTGGGCCCAGACTGAGGAGTGTCTTCTCTCTGGTTCATGCTGATCTGAAGGTGTAAGGCAGGACTGATGGAAACATCAATGCAGCTTCAAAGCTCTGCGTGTGACCAGCCCACAGTCACTTCTTCTGCGTACTATGGGCTAAAAGCAGGTCACATGACCAAGCCCAATATTGGTGGGCTGTTAAGAATATGTTCCCCAAGGGAGGGAGGGAGCCAGAGTGAGTATCTGCTGCACAAAATACAATCCATCATGCATTGTTACATGAGTTTTCTACCAGCGCTTCTCTGATGCTTTAACTAGTTTTCAAAATTGGCAAAGTAAAAGCCCCTATGACACATATATTAGGATCCATTCAGTTCCAGGGACAGAAATACAAGCCAAAATATTTTATGCAAAAGAGAAATGTACTTATTCATGACATAACCGCGAAGTCCACGAAATAGATTCGGGTGAAGCCCAGGGGTTTGATGTCATCAGGGCTTTTTCTTCATCTCATTACTCTGCTCGCCTCAGTGTGTTGGTCTTATTCTCCCCACTCTCTCAGAGGCAGCCCGAGGCCTTATGTCTACATCCTTCCTTCATAGTAACTCCCCATGTGTACAGAATTTCTTCTCACTTGCAGGGAAGGAGTCTAATTGTCCCCACCTGGGTATTACAGCTGCACCAATCTCTGTCTCTAGGAGACGGGTTCTGATGGCTGGCCAGATTTTAACCAGGTACCCACCCCTGATGTCAGAGAAAACAGGGTCTATTACTAAACATTCACACATGGTACAAATGACAGGGAGCCAAAACAGTAGCTAATTTAGCCCACTTACAAACATATTTGTTACCCAAGTTTTCTATTAGCACTGTTCTGATCTTTAGAATTCGTTTTCAAAAATCTGCATACTAAAATCCCCTACAACGTACACATTTGTCAGGATCCATTCAGTTCCAGCGACAGAATACAACTCAAACTAGTCTATGAACCAAAGGCCTTGCAATATGTTTATTCAATGTTTATATATAGGGAGTAAACTGCCTTAATTCCTTACTTGGGTCAGGAAAAACAATCTGAAACCTTACAGGGTAAATTCAACAGCAAACCTTCAGTTTACATACTCTTACACTTTATGTCTTTTGAAAATATTTAAGGCCAAGAGATCCTGTATCAGAAACTTTTTTTTTTTGAGACAGGGTCTCACTCTGTCACCCAGGCTGGAGCACAGTGATGCCATCACAGCTCACTGCAGCCTCGACCTCCTGGGCCCAAGCGATCCTCACAGCTCACTACAGCCTCCCAATTAGCTAAGGCCACAGGTATACACCACGACACCCAGCTAATTTGTTAATTATTTGTAGAGACAAGATCTCACAAAGTTGCCCAGGCATGTCTCAAACTCCTGGCCTCAAGCGATCCTCCTGCCTCAGCCTCCCAGAGATGGGATCCCAAAGGCTTGAACCACCATGCCCGGCCAGAAACTAATTTTAAAAATCTACCCAGGTTGTTGTCCACTGAATTCCTTTCCCATCTACTTTCCCCTTTCTTCTCTATACAGCCATTTCGTCCAGTTCTCATTTCTATCATTCTATATCCTTCCTACGAGAAGTGATAGGGGAATGTGCTACAAAAGATCTTTTAAAATTGAGCTGATTTTATGTCTGCTCATTAATTCACTAAGCAACCAGAGGGCAGTTGCTGTGTTTGGCTCTGGGGATGAAACATGGCCCTTTTGCTCTTTCAAGAAACTTGTCATTATAAAAGGGGCAACAGACATATAAACAAATGTCTGTAACATCGCACGATAGGCACTGTAATAGAAGGAACAGCTGGAGAGAAGTGTGCCGAGATCCACGTGCTGTGAAGAGAATTCTAAGCACCAGGGGAAGGCTGGGTGGGAGAAATGTGAGAGCAGAGGCAGTGGCCAGGCAGGAGATGTTGCAGGGGTCTCAGCAGCACATGATGGGAGAATGAACTCTGACTGAAGGCAGCAGCTGTGAGAATAGAGAAGAAACAATGGATAAGAAAGTTGTGGCCGGGCATGACGGCTCACGCCTGTAATCCCAGCACTTTGGGAGGCTGAGGCAGGCAGATCACCTGAGGTCAGGAGTTCAAGACTAGCCTGACCAACATGGTGAAACCCTGTCTCTGCTAAAAATACAAAAAATTAGCCAGGCATGGTGGTGGGCGCCTGTAATTCCAGCTACTCAGGAGGCTGAGGCAGGAGAATCGCTTCAACCCAGGAGGTAGAGGCTGCAGTGAGCTGAGATCACGCCATTGTACTCCAGCCTGGGCGACAAGAGCAGAACTCTGTCTCAACAACAACAAAAAGAAAGTTGTTACAGAAGAGGCATCAAAAAAACTAGTAAAGCAAAGAGTGGGAAGAGGGAGAAGATGAAGTGTCGCCTGATTTCATTTTGATAGTGAAATGATGTTGGTGCTGGCTCACAAGGATACCAAACAAAAAAAGAAAAGAAACTTTTCTGAGACAAATGCGGACTTAGGCTGAGTTGAAAAGGTTTGAGATATCCAGGTGTTAATGCCATCATTTCTCTTCCTTGTAATTTTATTTGCACCTGTTACTGAAAATATTTGTGCATGGAGTGGGAAAATAGGAAAGGGACGGAATCATGAGAAGGTAGCAGATCTATAAGATCAGTTTCATGTCAAGACTCATTTCTTTACCATATTCTTTCCCCTTGAAGAATCTGAGTTATCTGTAACAAAAAAGAGGCTCTGCCTTGTTTTGCATCGTACTCATTACCAGGAGCTGGGTCTGGGTGGGGCTCTGCGGTAGTGCTGACTGGAGCACTTGCAGAGGACCTGCAGCTACTACATGCGCAGTAAGAGGCCATGTTTTAGTCAGTCTTCGTATTTAGAACTTCTGTGAATTTTATAAACGATCACTAGCAAACCTGCAAGTGTTAAGTTAAATGATATCCTTGAGAAGGCTAACTTAAGAACATGACAAATTCACTGTTTCAGGAATTGGCCAAGCACTTTAACCTTAAGAACCTTCCTTTGAGAGTTCTCTTACGTTACTGGACATAATGTAAACATTAATACTTTCTTTTATAGGAAACATGTTTATTATTGATTATCTCAATTCAAAAATATTCTTTCTCAGGGCTGGTCCATCATGCTCAGTCTCTTTGCAAATATTAAATACACCGAAATCATGAGCAATTTTAACAGTAACATAGAAACTTCTGTACAGTAAGCAAGACAGGAATTTCCAACAATGACACAAGAGCTCCAGAACTTGCCAGTAAAACAAAGGCAGCATTTCCAATGACAAGGCATAGGAACCCATGGATAAAAATCTAACGGAACACATGCTGGAAACCGGGGACAGGAAATGGTATCATCCACCCTCGATCTGAGTATGCTCAGTGATAGCACAAAGCTTATCCTGTGAGAGGCACTTGGAGATACGATCGCTTCTATCCAGAAATGTGCCCTTTGGGAATGGAGCATATGATACCTAAGTGCCCCCAAATCAACTGTGTTTCAACTTCTTGCCTATACAATCATAACCAAGGTTTCAAGGAGAAGGCAGGCGCAGGAAGTATTTAGCTTTGACTTCTTAGCAGATGTAACACCAGCTCTTCATCCTCCGCTAAAGACAGGCCAGTATCCAAAGGCTCTAACGTGTCCCACTTGGCCTTCTTTCGGTTACGACTTGATGGTCCCACGTCTTCCACGTCACTGTTGTTCCTCTTCTTCATTCCCTGCTGCTTCTTGGTATCACTGGTGAGAAGAAATCCAAAGATTTACTTTAGACTCAGTATGAAATCAAACATTTAAAATAGGACAAAATTACAGAGAGTTGGTAAAGTGATATTATTCAAGAATGAAGGAAACCATGGCAACATCAAGATATCTGTATAATTAGTAAGTACCTTCCCATCAGTAGATAGGTCCTACCATGCACCAAGCACGTGCAAGGTACTTTGTTCACACTGGGTATTCCAATCTTCACAATCATTCTAGGAAGTTACAGCTGTATCAGCGACAATTTGAGGACACGGAGAGGCACCACAGGTATGTCTGGCTCCAGTGTGTGCTTGTCCTGCCATGTCAAACTACCTCTACTGAAAGTCAGGTTATCTTTAGGTAACAGTGTGCAAGCTAACAGCTATCTGGACAACAGGTGCTGCTTCTAATATCTGTTGCATTAAGCTGTGATCTAGAGATCATGCATAAAATAGAACCTGAGATGTTAAACTACAGATTACTTAAGACGTCAAATAAATTTCCTCCATTTAAAAATCTGTATCAAAAACACACACATAGCCTTAAGAAAGCAAACATTATTGCAGTATTTTGTACATACCCAAGACATAGACTATAAAAACAAAGCTAATTTCTGAAAGTAGAGGAAATCACTTGATATGCTAAAAATAGAAGAAAAAGCAAAACATTCTCCTCCAAGCATTTTGAGATATTAGCTGTTCCAAGATGACCCAATTATTGGATATACGATTAAAACAAAATAAAAAGTCCATCTATTGGCAGTAGCAACCATGAATACAAGGCTTCCTCAGGGTATGGCACTGCGCTACATACCTTACATAGATTATGTCATTGATATTCATGGTAACCCTCAGTGTGGAGTGCATGAGTCTCGTTCTGCAATGAGGTTAAGAGAGGTTAAATGACTGGACCAAGATTACACCCATGGGATTCAAACCCAGGTATGAATGATACTGAACCCAGCCCCAAAGGCAGGCTTTTGAAAGCAATTAGAGTTGACTCAATCAACATTTAAATACCAGGAACTGTGGAAAGAGCACTGGTTTGGCATCAACACAGTCAGACCTTTAATTAACACTTCTAACCCTCAGTTTTATTTGTAAAGACAGGTATTATGTAATTTATTTAAAATTGTGAGAATTAAATGAACTTATATAAATGAGAACACACAGTAGTGCTCAATACATGTTAACTTTCTGTCTATAAACTACTTCCTTTTAAATTCTCACATTCACTATATCTAATCAGCAAAAAAAAAAAAAAAAAAATCACAGAAATATTACATTATATCCCAAGCACATGACGTGTTCTGAAAGAGAACAAACTGCTCCACTTCCAATGGCCTGGATTACTCTTTAAGAAGACAGCCTGGATATCAAAGTGAATGCACCTAATCAGCACATCCATTTATGACCAGCTTGATGCAAACCTGGAAATCATTCCTCCATTTTCCTCCCAGAAGTGTCCAATGCTCTGACTCAGCCATTCTCTTTCACCATTGGAGGAAAGACAAACTAGATGGCACTATGAGGTTATTTAAAGCCACAAATTACTGTATTTTAAAAGAGTGCCTGGAGAGATGAACATGAAAGAGTTCCCTGTGATACAAATTCAGTCAGCAAATAATTAAAATAATTCTTAGTGAAAAGGGGCCTTAAAAAAAAGTATTGAGCCCTAATCTTATGAGTATGGCCAGTCCTGTGACAATACCACAGGGTTATAGTGCCAGGATTTATCTGGTTCAAGGGAATACTGATTTTTGCTCTACCTATACGTCAAGTGCATCTCAGGTCAGCTCATCAGAAATGGCCTGATTAGTGAGCTGTCTATTGCATCCTCTGTTAATGTGCTCCTGCACATTACATGCGCTGCAGGAAATAGGTGGTTTGGATAATAAAAGGTGGAAAATTATGTAGTCCAAGTATTTTCACAATAGGCAGCTTTGCTGCTTTGTGGATCACTTCAAATTCTAGGAAGGCCCTTTATACTACTTTCTATAGCAAATGAGCACCAATCTGTATAATAAATTAATTATTAAACAACAGTATAGGTATTCTACAGATAAATTACCAAAAGGGGGATACTGTAATAAACCTAGAAAGTAATTAGGAAGCAGAAAGCAAACTATAGCCACTATCTGGTCTCTTCAGAAAAGGCCTCTTCCAAATGGAGTGGCACTAGAGGACTCCCTTTCATTTACAACCTAATGAATCAGGCAGGCAGTGGGGTTCTGACCCCATCTAGCTAATGTTCACCTGGAGCTCACTGGATCCAATTAGGGACAGGGACTTCTTTCTGATGGGTTAACAATCTAATATACGTAATAGAGAATTCTAGTTTCTTGATTTTTAAATATTTTCTGCAAGTTCTGGGAGGGGCTCTTGCATCTTTCTATCATGAGTTCTGTTAGGAGCCATGGTGGCAGCACATCATTGGTGCCATGTATCAAACAGATAGTAAAACATTCTGAAGATAACAGGTCCACTGAAATAATGAAAATGCAATAGAGGTTGAAAAAGGAGTGAAATCAGTGTTCTCCACTAAGCCGAGGGAGGTAAGGAGGTCCCTGAGATGACTGACAACGAGGGGGTGGCCTGCAAAACTGGGGCGAGTCCAAGTCTGAGCTCCACATTTTATCTTCATGTCAGCACTTCTGTGGGACTTAAGACTCTTGCCACATTCTTTAAATGTTCAAGGCAAGGGTCAAAAGCAAACATATCACTGCTCAGCATTAAGACAGTGCAACATAATGGATAAAGCACATCTTAAAAAGCCAAAGCATCGCTTAACTCAGCACACCAAAAGCCCCACTACTGCTATAAAAATCAAAAGTAGAGTTAAAGAATTCAGAGATGTCAGTCTTTCAATAATCCAAATAACAAAGACTTTATTAGTAATGTCTGGTGTGCCATTTAAAGGACGTATCATACAACAGAGAAAAAAATCATCATATAATATGTAATCTGAACAGATGATGACAGGGAAATTTGATTTTGAAATTTTTGTGAAAATGGATACACAAAAGCTTGTCTGGATAACCAAAGTAACCATCTGAGCCAAACAACTCACTCATTGCTAATAATTAAGCAAACAAGATACAACATTGGAATGTGAATTCAATTTTAAAATCTTTATTTGTAATTGAGTTTTAAACGGAATATAACTTTCTGAATTTCTAAATTTTCTGAAACCAAACATCAGAATACTCGGAGAAACTGAACTTATTTTTCAATAGGGCTGATTTCCTGGTTTCAACATTTTAACTTTTTTAGACACTTGTAGGTTACATCATCACCCCGGAATAACAGGGTTAATTTCACAAGAAACAAAAGAGCTGGAAGAAAACCTGAAGTTAGCATGTTCAGGTCAGCTTTCCTCCCAGTCCCTCACTCCTCAGGCACGGCCCTCACTCGCGAGCTCAGCAGACACTTGGGCATTTCCACCAGTGTTTGCTGCAAATGTGGTGCCTCCCTCTTCTGGGTCTTCCTTTGTCCTTCAAGACCCATCTCCAATTCCTTATCTCCCATGAAAGGTACAAATCTGCCTACTAAAAGTGATCTCTTTCTTCTGAATTGGAAAAGCGCCAATTAACTATTAGTTAACTTTCAATAATCCAAATAATAAAGACTTTATTAGTAATGTCTGGTATGCCATTTAAAGGACGTATCATACAACAGAGAAAAAATCATCATGTAATATGTAATCTGAACAGATGATGACAGAGTAGGTATGCTATGTAATCTTTGTTCCTGTTGATAACCTGATCTCCAACTTAGGGTCCCTGTGTCTATAGGAAAAGGTGAGACTGCTTAGGTCAAGATATATGAATCATGGGTTATTTTCTATATATATATATATATTTTTTTTTTTAATCTGAAATTGTGTGCCAAAGACTAAGTTGTGGGATTTGTTTGCTTTTGGCTAGAATTATATTAACTGGGCTTTGTAAATGCTCAATACTTCAGATACTTGGATGAACTGGAAATTACATCTTTGTTAATGAAACAAATGCGAAATATTAACTTTCTTGAGAGATAAAAATCTTTTAACACATGGGACCACTATGGTTGAAAACAGATGATGACAGGGAAATTCTATTTTGATGATTTTGAAATTTTTGTGAAAATGGTTATACCAAAGCTTGTCTTGTGATGACGAAAAGGTTGGGAGTCATCATTCCAGGATAGAAAATGGTGCTCCATGGATCATATGGAGAAACCTGTGAGAATTCCTGATAATTTTACTTTTCAGTCTTACATATCAGCCTTCTTAGGAAGCCATTCAATAATGGTTTCCATGACCACTCTCCCCTCAGGACAATACAAAAAAATTAAGAACCAGTCATCTTAAATAAAAGTTCTTGCTGAAATATCATTTATAAAACCTTCATGTATAACATTTCTCTTTTGAGCCCATTGTAAGCACGCTTAGAGAAGTAGTCTCCATCAAGCACAGCTTGGCTCTTGTCTTTTTCATAAAAATTTCAGTGGTTCTCTAGAAAGATTATTAGTATAATCTTTAAGGAGCCTCATGATCTGGTATATGCCTGCCTCTGTAAGCTGTTTGGCATTAGTCCCCCTTAATATAAAAGAGCCCCTGTTCTTTGGGGCTCCTTTCTATTCCCTGAATATGCCCTAGCTTCTCAGTTTCTTTTATCTCGATATGGAATTTCCTTTTCTGTTTTCTAACTATCTAAACCTCCCTTATCCTTCAAAAGCCAGTTCAAATAATACCTCTTCCTCAAGGATTCCACCTTGTGCATTGTAATTTGGTATAGATTTCTTCTTCTGCCTACTAAATGGGTAGCTTTTTGAGGTCTGGGGCTCCTTGTCTTCATTTCTGAAGATGACTTAAAGAATTCATTCAGTAAAGGTCCATTCATCTGAACAGTAAAAATAATGACAGTTAGGGTTGTTCGAAGCCCCAAGGATTACCATCACTGCAACAAAAAAGGCAACATTTCAATGGATTTTGCTTCTAATTCAACTTCCAGC